CTTTAAGCAGTGTATATCAGTCCAGCTGAGGTGCTGATGTGTAGTCTTTGAAGCAAAGATGACAGGGCAGTGTTTTTCCCAGCCCCCATAGCTCCCAAGTAAACCGTCTGAGCAGAGGCTGGGATCAAGCCTCAAGATAAGAGGCTATGACCTCCCAGGGCATAAAAGATTACACATCAGAGCTGAAGCACTGACCCCAAAACACCATATACTATCTCAGTTGTGATATGATGATTACTCCTTCTGCATATCCTTCTCTCTGCATATTGCAGAGGTGATTTCAGGCCTCTACCTAGCCCAGCTCACGGCGCTCACCTACTTCTTGCCATTCTCACAGGCACTCATCCTCAAGCCACTCCCTTCTTCACAGATTAATAAAACCTGGGTTTGGTTTTGGTTTGGGGCTTTTTTTCCGGTTACCCTTCTTCTTGGTTGGCTTTGGGCCCCCTTGGTTCCCCTTACTTCCAATTTTGCTTAGTGTCTTTCTTCTCACCATGGGTTGCACTGGAAGTGGTAGATTGGAATTAACCCACTGGAATTCCAATGACTTTTCCATAGGATTGTAAATATAAACTTCCTGGGCCACAGTGAGAACCAGGAAGGGCTCTCTATACACAACACTTCTCAGGTGGCCATGGGCTCCCAAAGAGCTTAACTAGAGAAAAAAACACAAGACAGAAGGAAAATGCCACAAACAGTAAGCAAGAGGATAGTTCTCAAAACTGAAAGCCAGGACTGCATAAAATGCATCTTCCCACAATTCTTCCTCTGTACAACGTCAACATCCAGGTCTCCATACCAACATTGTCTGTGGATTCTAAGCCACAAGCATCCAGAATATAAGGCAGTCCCCCACAGGCCAAACATGCCACTGCAAAGCCATTTCCCGGCTGATTTATCATGAGTCAGGACCCTAATCAAGCTGCAATCAAATTTACCCGTGGGCGATTGCAGCACAGTGCTCCGAGATGTCATCTAAATGCAGGGGAATTGACTTCAGCAATAACAGTTTTAGGATATTCTCCACCCACACCAAATGGTAGCTGAAATTTGCATGGTGCACCTAACAATGAATTGTGGCTTTGTGGACACACCTGACTCCAGCATCAAACAGGGACTCTGCAAGGAGAGACATGTGTCCTGTCCAACCAAAGAGAAGACCACCCACATGGAAGTGCTCAGTAAGCGTTTGCTGGTAGCACCAGGATGGAGGCAGCACCACTCACTTATGAACAGCACCCCTCACTTATGAAGTAGAAAACAGAGTCCCCAAAAGACCTAAGGAGGTGGGAGGCCCTGACACAAGTAGACCCCTACAACAGAGCAACTGTCACTGGGCACACTGCATCTGTCTTTATCTCTACCTCTCACTATCTCTCTCTGTCTCTCCCCCTCCCCCCACCATCTTTGTCTCTCATAAACACAGAGATAATTATGCTTGCAGTGTTTTCACAGAACTCTCAAGTCTGAATCTGGGATTTCTATCAGGCTCCATCTGCTTCCAGAACTGTGTGCAAACAATAACATCCACAGCTCAGAAAAGAAGGGACATAAAACATTTTTATTTGTTCTGACCAGAAAAGCCATATGATCCAGAATGTGTGAAAGGAAGTCAAAAAAAGAAAGGGAAACAGATTGTCAGTCATGGTCATAGTCCACAAGAAAACTCTGAAAATCAAACAGTGGGTCCAGTTGTGTGTAAAACAAGCCTGTGCATATGCCTCTCCCCTGGCAATGCGGCTTTCTGAAAAAACGTGCTTTACAGAGACCTAAGTGGGAACCCTGGCTCTCCAGCTTTCTCCTGTGTGAGCTGGAACAAACTGCTTAACTTCTCTGACCTTGGTCCCCTCCACTGTATATCAGGGCTAATAATTTCTACTATATAGGTATGTGGTAGGGATTGACTCCATCTTCAGCAAGATCCCTGCCATGCACACCCAGTAAGTAATGATGGAGATGGTGGTGGTAAAGATGAAGGTTTTGGAGGTGGTGATGGTAGTGGTGGTGGAGACAGCAATAATGACAACAGTGGTGGCAATGGTGTCGGAGGTGGTGGTGGCAGTTGGATGTGGTTATTGTGATAGCGATGCTGGTGGTGGTAGGAGCAGTAGAAGAGGTGATTAAAATTGTGCTGGTAGAAGTGTCAGTGACCATAAACAGTGGCCTGTTTTGTGGCAATTAATATGGAATGTCTATTTGAATGGCTTGGGATCCACCGAGGAGATTGTTGGAGCACCCTTCTAGGCAGGCTTGGGTGGGTCATGGAGGCTGGGCTTGGGGTCCATATTTGGCTGTTTGCCTCTTCTGCTCTGGTGCTCTGCTCTGCTCCTGCTCTGCTTCCAGGCTGATGGGAATTATGCAAATTTGCTCTGCAACACTCCTCTTCCATATTTCTGCCTTAGAGTCAGCTGACCACAGACTGAGTCCCTCAAAACCGTGAGCCATATTAAACCTCTGCTCCTTCATGCTGTGGGTGTTGGGACTTGTGTTGAGCAATGGGAAGACTTACTAATATAGTTCATTCCTCTTCTTTCTACAGTTTCCTTGCAGTTTTGGAAAACCATGCATATCCATGACAGACTATCCCTCTCTTCCAAGGCATTTCTCCCTACAGGACTTCCGGAATCACCACTGTGCACTCTAATTTCCTCACTCTAATTCAGATAGTAACTGGGTATCAGTTTGTCACCGTTTATATCAAGAAAGTCCCTCAGAGGCTTCACGCATTCGTAGGCGGGGCTTTTAGAAGAGGACTGGGCCATGACAGCGCGATAGCTGACTCACTGATAGGGGGTGGAGGCCGGTCGGGGGAGACAGGTCATGGGAGCACGACATAGAAAGGTGTATCTTTCTCCCCAGCTCTTCCCTTCACTCTCTGCTTCCTGGCCGCCACGATGCGACCAGCTTTTCCTGCACTCTGCCCCTCTGCCGTGCTGTCCCGTCTTGGAGCCAATGAACTATGGGCTAAAAACGTAAGCCAACATACGCCTCTCCCCCTTTAAATTGTGGGTGTTGGGTATGGTGTCCCAGGGGCGAGAAAGTGACTGAAACGCAGTTGCTTCCACTCAGCCGAGATGGAGCCACGTGGAGGTCAGGCCCGGAAGTGCCCTGGGGAACAAGATACATATGTTCTCTTACTTTTCTCTTGTCTCTTCCCTTCCTTCCTCCAAAGCTTTCCAAGTACAGCCACTTTCCTCCCTTTCCTCCCTTCTGCTCTGAAGACCTGACTTCATGGTTGAGATTTCACATTAGGGAATGCAAAAGCGAATGACCAAAATACAGATTTTTCTCCTTAACACAAGCCAAGACCTTCCTCCCACTTTCCCCTATTATCACTGATGAGTTCCTCGATGTTCCGAAAGTAAACTCTAACCAAAATTTCATGTCATAATTGCGACATCAAATTGGACCTGGAGCAGAAGAGTGAAGAAGTGAGCAACAAAATTTAAGACAAAACTGACCCAGAACTCATTTCACGTTTAAGTAGCAGAGATGTATGCTCTTTGATTTGGACAGAAAACACATTGCCTAGGAAAGTTTCAGTACACGGGCGTAAGTGGAGAGAATATGAGCGCCGGACCAGAGCCCCAGGTTCAGGTCCGGATCCCTTCCTAGCAACTCACTCCATCTCTTCACACCTCGGTTTTCACATCAGCAAATTGAGGAACGTGCCCCCCATGAGGGTGGAGGAGTTGATTTTGAAAAGATGTGGTAAGCTCTGCAGATATGAGCTTTTTAACTTCTCCAGTCCATTTGAACATATTTGAAAAACAACCAAGCTTTCATCTTTTCATCTTTTTGACGTCCCTGCGGGATGTCTATGAGCCTCTGTCAGTCTGTTCTTAAGCCTCTTCCTGAAAACCTGAGTTGTAATAAAGCCTTCAAAGAGGGTCCAAGAACCCAGAACATTACACTGAATTCTGGTCTGTAATGCATGATATTAACCAAAGCACACGATGCATGAGGTTAGAGACCAGAAAACCTTTTTAGTGTGATTTGTATGTAAAGGGGTGATTGAACTATATGATGAATGTTTAATTTTTAAAAAAAATATTACAAAGAGAGACACTTTGTCTTAATTCCCTTCAAAATATTCCCCCTTGCTTTGAACACATTTATCACATCATTCTTGGCACTATCTGAAGAAGTTCTGGAAGTCCTCTTTCATGAGTGTCTTTACCAGGTATGACAAAAAAATACAGTGAATGCTGTTGCCACGTGCCATATCATGGAAATGCAGGCTTGTACAAACATTATCATGTGTCCCCATCCACTTCATTCACCAGATCTGGCACCATGTGACTTTTGGCTCTTCCTCAAAGTCAAAATGATCATGAAAGGTAAACATTTTGAATGACTCAGGATATCAAGTTGGCCACAGCAGCACAAGTAACGAAGCTCATGAAAGAGGACTTCCAGAACTGCTTCAGAAAGTGCCAAGAATTATGAGATGTGTATTAAGGGGATTCATGGTACTATGTCTTTTACTGTAATGATTTTTTAAAATTTAAACGTTCACCATAAATTTTATCATCCTTGTATGGGTGTATCCCTGGTCTTGGCAGTCTCTTCTTGGGGAACTTCCCAATATACCAAGGAATGAACTAAGTTTTATCTACTTGGCCTCTCCTAGTAATCCCATTCCCACCAGCCTGGGAGTTTTAACAGGATAGAATGATTACCTTCCCCTATCCCAAAATTCAACTCAGTGTCCCTTTTCCTGGAAGTCTTCCCCTAATACCATCTTCCACTCCAATCCTTCTAAATGGCCCCAAAGCAGTGTGGCTGAAGTCTGGAGATGTTTTCTATCCTGTACATAATCACAAGTTGAATGATGAGCACTTGGAACCAAAGGTTGTACTCTCTTTTCTTATTCAAATCTGCAATCCAAACCCAGGGACATTGGTATGAACCAACTAAACTGATATCAAATGCTCATTTGGTAATTATTCTTTCTAAGTTCTAGCAGCACAGATGACAATTACAGCAGTGGAGAAATATCCCAAAACAAAGGTAGACATTTTGCTTGAAAAATTTTTAAATGAGAATTAGAGAATTCAGTGGTAGGAAAGTTATAGGTCAGAAAAGGTCTTTTCTATCCATAACACAATGAGCTTCACAAGAACACCTCAAGATCTCCTAAGGATCGCAGCTGACACAAGGGCCTCGTGGTGGCAATGTCTTCCCCAGGACCAGGTTGGTCCAGCTGCTGCAGACCCAGCCTGACTGAAAGACACTTGGCTTCCTTGTTGGACTCAAGGTTGACCCTTGACTTGGAGAGAGCTGTGGAGTCCACGACAATACAAGGGGATGCTCCTCCATCACCTCATCTGCAGCTCATCGTTTCTGAAAACACCGCAAAAGAATTGAAGAAACCAGTTGCAAATGGCATAAGCATACATAAAAGGATGGATTGTTTCCCCGATCACTTTAAAGCCAAATTAAAATAAGGAAATATTTTATCCCAATAAAATCACAACTGATATACTTCATTAGTTTTGGAAAATATACAAATAAGTGAACACATTTATCTACTGCATTGAGGAATGTGAAATGGTAACTTTCTGAAAAATTACTAAAAAGACTGAGACAAAATCTGCAAAACATATCCACTCTTTGATTCAGCAGTTCCTCTATGATTCCCCTATTCTAAGGAAATGAACAGCAATTATCTTCATGGTATTTATGCAAGCATCTATATTGCTATGTTGTGTAAATAGGAAAAATCTAGAAACAATAGAGCTGAACAATATGACCATAAGAATGTAACAATATGCACATATGATTGAAAATTATGGCATAAAATACAGCTCTGAGAAATCACTCCATGTAATAACATTTGGCAAACATATTCTGTCAAAGGCCAAAAGATAATTATTGTCAGCTTTGTAGGCCAAAAGTCAAAAGTCAAGGCTACTATGTAGTACTTACCATAATAAGAGAAAACAAATGGCCACAACTTTCCCTGGACAAAGAAAAAACCTTTTTGAACAAAATGCAAGAAATGTTGGGTGCAGTATTCTTTGTGATATAGGCCAACAAGGGAGAAGAATCTCATTCCTTTTGGACAAATAACATTTTTATTAACTGGTGTTCAAAGTCAGTTTTCCTTATCATCAAACTGATTTCAAATGTTTATCTGTTAAAAAAAAAAAAAAATCACAGCCCCAGTAAGAGCAGACAATAGGCCGACTTGTTCCTGTAGATTCTGGATGCAATATAAGAATGTGTACTAACATGGAAGAATATTCATGAAATATTCTGGAATAGGATGAGTAGGGTGCATGATGATCCTTACCATAATTCCCCATATATTTCCAGGTTTCTGCCTTTCTAGGAGTGGGACAGAACTGCACTTTCCATCTCCTTTGTGATTTTATGGGTCCATGTCACCAAACCTGCCCAGTAGGTCTCAAGTAGAAATAATGCTCTACTCCAAGGCCACAGGCTGTTTTAGTCAGCTTTAAAGCCCTGTAACAAGTACCTGAAATGATCAACTTAGAAAAAAAGAAGGTTGGTTTGGGCTCACCCACCTCACAGCCTGCAGTGCCAGCTCTGAGTTCTGCACACTGTGTGAGACAAACCGCAACATCTGCCACTAAAAAGTCCCAGGAGAATGGCTGCTCATGCCAGCTTTCCTCCTGCCCCAAAAGGTCCGTGTCCCAGCCTGAGCCCTGGTTGCAGGTGGAAAGTAAAATAATCCACCATGGGTCAGGCCCCTGCGCCCTGGCCACTCCCCTGCCCCTTACTCCTCACACCCCACAGCACTCAAGGCTGTATGCTCCCAAGAACAAGCCTCCTGCACACAACCAGACTCTCAGCCGCCTGTGGGTCTAATTCCCAGAGTTCCCTGGGAGCACAGGTATGATCACATCTGCTGGAGAAAGAAAGAAAGAAAGAAAGAAAGAAAGAAAGAAAGAAAGAAAGAAAGAAAGAAAGAAAGAAAGAAAGAAGAAAGAAAGAAGGAAAGAAAGAGAAAGAGTGAATGAATAAATAAATAAATGAATGAATATGACCACATACACTGTCACCAGGCTCAAACCAGAAGCAAATGACCAAGTGCAGTGAGCATCATAAAGCCTGGAACACAGGTGAGCACTAACAAGGGCTTCCTGGTTGCCTGGGAACCACAGATACTCCGCAGCAAACCCCACCCAGCCACTCACTGGCTGCCCCAAGCTGGACTGAATCTCTGACCGCTCAGTTCCTTCATTAGCTCAACAGGAGCCTTCGCGAGGGCCCTGTCCCTTCCAGGGAGGCCATGGGGATTAAAGTAAGTCCTATGAAGCACTCAGGACAATGGCAGGAACAAAGCAAGCATCCCCAGCCAGCAGCCAGTATTATCAGTGTCTTAATCATTGCCGCAGTGCAGCTGTATCAAGAGAACGGAGCAGCAGAAGTTGAAGCAGTGAAGTGGGAGCCATCAGCCTGGAAGCCCCAGCCTGTGGACAGGCTTACTGAGAGGGACAAAATTAATAAGTTCCCTGCAGTGTCTCAGTCGCTGTTATAAGGAGGAAGTGCCTAGATGCTCCTTTGTAATGCTTTTTTTTCCTCTGATACCTCCCAGAAAGGAAGATGCTAATGGTATCAGGCTGGGCATCCTTGCTATTGGTGTCCTACTTGCCTATTTCTCCATCACTCTCCTGGGACAACTGAGCCACTCATCAGCTGAAGGGAGACAACCTCACTGTGACCTCAAGCCATGGAGAGGTCAGCGCAAGAGGTAGCATCTTCCTAGCAACAGTTGCCAGAGAAAATTATGAGGGTGGACTCAACTCCCAGGGGTATGAGGATCTGGAGAGCCAGATAACTAGCGTTTATTCATGGGGGTACCATGAAGGATGTGGACAGCCTCCCAGCTAGTGTGTGGTTAGTTCCCTTTGTTACATGATCTGGCTGGACTTTGTGTTTTATTTCATGTTATTTTGATTTCCTCAAATATAAGTGTTAGGTGAGTGCGGTGGTGCACAGCTGTAACCCCAGCATTTGGGGAGGCTGAGGCAAGAGGATTACAAGTTTGAGCCCAGCTTGGGCAACGAAGTAAGATCCTGTCTCAAAATTTAAAAATTCAAAAAGAACTGGGGATATAACTCAGTGCAAAAGCCCTGGGTTGCATCCCCAGTGCACGTATATGTGACTATGTATCTGCATGTGTACATGTATATTGAGCTGAAAATTATTCAGTTCAAAATTTCTTAGTCCTATCAGATCCAACATCACATTTTATAGGAAATATTTTTGCAATATCCCCTTCATTATTCTTAAATGAAACTACCAACATGTAAGTACATACTACTTAAAATAAACATAATGTCCTATAATATAATTGAGAAATGATTTATAAAAAATAAGATGCATTTCCAATATACAAATGCCAGTGAACAAATACACCTAGGAATACACCTAGAAAATATAGTAAATAAGTCATACTTTTACACCTATTTGTATGATTCATAGTTTTTTCCTTGGCTGACATTTGGAAGTAAGGGTTACATCAGTACCTTAATGATAGTCATAGACTCACCTAGAACTCAATCCCTACAGATACAAAATGAGAGAACACTGGTACCTCAAACCCCAGGAATGGGACTGTCCCCAGGGATGCAGTTTGTCAGAGTGTGACATTCGGTAAAACTACATACGGTACTAACCTTCCCAGCAAATACAGTGTACATTAGAACCACGAAACAAGGTTTAGATTCATATGTAAAATAACATTGGATCTGAAGCCTGGATAATTACAAACAACTTATTTACCCACTTGAATGGCCGGCCAGAAGAGAAACACTGGCCAAGGAATGCCTTGTGCACTATAGGACACTGTGATGCTCTGGTCCATGTCCACTGGAAACCAGTAGAACACTGTCCCATCACTGTGGCCACCAAAACTGTTTGCATGGATTCCCAAAATGTTATCAGTGATCGGGTCCAATTTCCCCATGATAAAGGTCAATAAAGTGAGAATCCAAGAGGAACAGTGGCTCGTCCAAGGGGAGCCCAGCTGAAAATCAGAGTCATTCAGGTCAAGGATTAGAACATTTCACTGAGATTTTGTGACTCCTCCCAGTTTCTGGGTGTGTAAATACCAAGCTATGATGATGTACTGATGTAATCCATAGTTTCTTTATCATCTATGACAATGTACTGATGTAATCCGTAGTTTCTTTATCATCTTCTCCTATAGGTCAGTCTTGCTTTCTGAAGGCCCATACTTTCAGATTACAGACAAAATTGAGCTATTCTGGAGCTCTGCTTTTAGCAGAAAGGCATTGCTTTCTGGAGAAAATTCTCCACCTTCCTGTCTGTCTCAGTTGGAAGGTCTCAATAATAGAGTCTATCAATACCCAAGCAGGAGGCCACAGAGAATACAGACCAGACATGTGGTACCGTGAACAGCTTTGACTCGCTATACTCCATGCAAAGGGAAGGCTTTAAGGAGAAAAAGTTTATCACCCAATTTATTTTATAAAAATTGCCATGTTATCATTATTATTAAGAAAGCCGTCTGTTGAATGGGGAGAGAGGGCTGAGGTAGAAAATAAGACCAGACCTGAGGTGCCCTGAGACCCACACACAGACAAGCCAAGCAAGTCAGTGGGGCAGAACCTTCAGGAGAGCCCGTGTTTGAGTGACAGTCGGAGGCAAGATGCCAAGGAAGGATGCTGAGGAGAAACAGGCCAAAGACAGAAAGCGTTGTCAGAAAGGATAGCTACCGCAGAGCATGGCGGCACTCACCTGTAATCCAGGAGGGTCACAAACTTGAAGCCAACTTAGCAAGACTCTGACTCAAAATAAAAACAAATTTAAATGCAGGGGGCTGGGAGTGTAGCTTGACATAGAGGACCTCTGGGGGCAGCCCCCATTGCCACAAGAAAAAGCTGAATAGCCACTAAGATAGGCCTACACTAAGAGCTTTGCAATCTTCACCATCTCCTTTGGTTCTTCACGCACTCTAATGGGGAGGGTCAGTTATGACCCCCGATCTACACTTGGGAAATTACAGCAAAGGAAGGTTAAGTAAGATGAAGTATCCAAGAACGCACAGCTACCATAAGAAGGTGCAAAACTAGAATTTGAAGCCAAGTAGTCTGACGACAAAGGTTGCACTTTAACCTTCTGCAAAATTAAAGAAAACTAATGACCAAACATTATGCTTTGGCTGGGCATGGTGGTGCACGCCTATAATCCCAGCATTCGGGAGGCTGAGGCAGGAGAAATTGCTATGAGTATGAGGCCAGCCTGAGCTACACAGTGAGTTCAAGACGAGCTTGAATTACATAGGGAGTCTCTAGTCTCAAAACGAAAAAAAAGTTGTGCCTTGGATGTAGTATTTACAACAAAATGCTGGGAAAAATCTTGGGCTTCTACTCACATGGTTGAACTGCAGGCTGTTGACTCCTCCCCTCCCCGTGAGCCCTCCGAGAAGGGGCAGATAAGAAGACAGCAGGCTCTGAGTCCTCTATCCACCATGCCCACCCTCCTGCAGCACAAGCGTGAAGATGGAAAATTTCTCATTATGCCTTACATTGTCTTCTCAATAAAACAAAAATTGCTCCCCAAGATCGATCTTCCCAGACAACTGAGTAAACAGGTCAACAAAGAAAACACGTGTCCAAATGAATTGGATATTGAAATGAGGAAAGCCAAGCACCGATTGTGTCTCTGACACTTGGTAATTTCTCTCCGAAGTCCTCAGCAGTCTGCTTATCCACATGAAGCAGCAATTCCTCTGCTCTCAGGAACAGTTTCCTGGCAGGCAGCAAGAGATGAGCTCCAACTCCACCCCACAAAAGAAAACCGAGCCCGGGCTTATGAGTCCAAGCCATCCCACAAGAATGGTTTCCTGCCACATCCAATGAAAGGATCATTATAAGAAAATTCTTCAATCCATTGTTTATTCTGGACTTTAAAGGATACTTGGCTTTGCCAGTCTCCTGCAGTAGAGGATAAGTCAGGTGAGGCTCAAAGCCAAAATAATGGCACAGCCCTACAGAGGTTGTGAGATGACAGTGATTAAAGAGAAGTGGACAGATTTGAGGGCTTGGGGGAGTCACTATGCTCTACACTGCAGCAAGCTTGGGAAAGTAGGAGTGGACCAGTCCCACCCAGGGCTCGGGGTATGGAGAAGTTGGCCCTTGGGGACTCTGACTCTGGGGGCACCGCTATGCGAGCTGCTCTAAGGCCCCAGAAGGACTCAGCAGAAGTCTGCATGGCATGAGCATCAGAACAGGAGACAAGACACTGCAGGGAAGAGGGTGCCAACTCCGCTGTAGGAAAGAGGGCCAGGAAAAGCCAATCAGGTTGTGACACAGAGGTGAGTTTTTTGTTTTTTTCTTTTTCTTTTCTCTTCTTTTCTTTTCTTTTTTTTTTTCTTTTTGGTACTGGGAATCGAACTCAGGATGTTGCGCTTGCCAGGCAGGCACTTGTGCTGCTGATCTATATCCCTGGCCCACAGAGCTGAGTCTTGACATGATGCTGAGGTTGGATCCCACAGATCATGAGACCCAAGTCACTTCCAGGTGGAGGGAAGCTCTGGACGCAGAACAAACACTGGGCATAGCAAACCCTGAGGAGACATGAACACAGTGACTTGCCAACATGTGGCCAAGTCACCAGTGAACCTGATTAAAAATTAAACAGCTGGTTCTCCAGCCTAACCCACAAAATATTCCAATCCTGTAGGTGTGGGGAGGACCCAGGAATCCACGTGGCCAGATGTCACCCCAGGTAATATCTGTTCAGGAGTCCCCAGAGAGAGCGGAGGGTACACCCAGCTGGGTCCTCCGGAGGGAGGAGACAGGTGCAGAAGACAGGATGGAGAGACGGCAGGGGATGCGTGGCTTTCAGAAAGCCCACCCTGAGCAATGCTTGCTTCTCCCACCAAAGAATAAGCCCAGGGGTCTGGATTTGCTGCCGCTCCCTTGCTCCCTACATGTTTAGCACAAGGTAGATGCACGGAAGTATTGAATGAATGAATGAATGAATGAATGAGTAGTAGCAGGGTAAAAGATGGGCTGGAAGGAGCGTGGGAGTTGAAGGCTCTTCCTGGGATCTGGGGCTGGGACGAAGCCCAGTTCCATGGCAGGGGAGGGAGGGACACAG